GTTTAACTGTGAGCTGCCCAGAGTCACCCATTGGGGGGAGATGGGTGGCATACAAATTCAATAATAAATAAATAGAAATAAAATATTATTTTTCCCTGAGGGAGTTTAGATTTTTGTAGTACCCGTCAATATATTTGAGTGTGTGAATTGCCATTGAATGTAAATCTGAATTGAACTGAAGTGCCACTCACTGTAAATCTTGGATGAAGGACTCAATGTCTACTTTTCTGTGCTTTTTTCTCTTCCTGCAGGTGTGTGAGAGTATGTTCTTGGGCCTCCTCTCTGAGGACTTCCTTCTGCAGGACTAGCAAAGCCCTCTACATCTCTGTCCTTGCAGTTGTGTTCTTTGCTGCCCTTGTGACTTTTCTCATGGGCTTTTCCTTTCAACCACCTGTGGAAGCAGCTCCTGATGGTACTGGAAATGCTTGGACCTCTGTACAGAAGCTCTTGTGGCCGTACATTCGTCTCCTTCACCAAGGACCACCACCTGTGTAATTCACCAGTATTCCGAATGGATTCTTCTAGTGCCCGCTCAGCATGTCGTCTTCGACTGAATAATCTAGTGCACAGATTGAGCATTTTAGCTTCATCACACTTCAAGGTTCTGAATGTAGAGAAAAGGCAACTTTAATGCATCATCTCATATTTCTGTTAATAATTTAGAGCCATGCAGTTCAGAAACAAAATGCAATTCGTTATTTTCTGGCAAAGCAAGTAGATTTTCCAAGTGACCTCAACTACTTTTTTTATTTTGTAAGTCTTCCTGTCTCCCCCCCACTTTTCTCCCTCCCCCAAAACTTATCAAAGAGCTTGTAGAAACAAAATATATTTTAAGAAACTTCGGGGCACATAGTCTATCCATAAATGGCTTACAAGTATTTATTTTTTTTTCTTTTTTTTTTTTTTAAAAAAGTCTGAAACGTGATCTCTTCCACCTCTTATTTTTATTGATGGGGAGCGTCTTCGAACTCAATAAAGTTCTTAAGCAGCTTCTGGCGTATTACGAGTATGTCAGCACCCTTGTGCCAAGGAGTAATTGGTACACAGCATCGATGAAAAGGTAGTTGCTCTGTCTGACTCGGTCCATTGCAGCTTCACTCCCCGCATCTTTAATGAGGTGGTAAAGAGTGGAGTGGAATTCAGAGCCTTCTGCGATGTTCTTGGAGAAGCTGTAGCTGTCTTCTTCAATCGCAAGCTTCTGAGCTCTTTGCCCATTGAACATATAAAGATCCCACAATTCGTCATCCACTAGTTCTTCTTCTGTCAGATGTTCACAGGCCTGCAGTTGGACAGGAGAAAGAGATGATGGGCGCCCCACTAGATTCTGAGGGAACTGTCAGGTTTTTAAAATGGGAGGGTATCGGGCAAAGTTGGATGTTTTCTGGCAAAGGTGACATGCAACGTACGTAAAAAACAGGCAGAGCTTTGATTGCGCTGTCATAGCCACCAACGTGTCATCTTAACCACGCTCTGCGGACACCCCGGTTGCTTGACTGGCTTCGTTGCTGCTTTTTTTGAGCTTGGACCTTGGTGATATTTTATTTTGATTGGTTTTAACCTTCTATATGCGGCCCAGAATCAGCACTATGAGATAGGCAGCCAGCCATATAAATAATCTAAATAAATACTGGCATGTTACTGGCCATTGTCCCCCAGCTGAAAATGGTTATCTATTCCTGCCCTAACAGCTCCTCTCTCGCTAGTCCTGCCCATTCCTTTAGAAGAGAAGGAGATGGAGGTGACTAGTCCTCCCTCTGTTCTTGCTACCTTTGGGGGGAAGCAAAGGAGCAACACGGCCAGGGAGTCTCCAGTGAAAGAGTGTGCGTCTTGGCAGAAACCAGGTAATGTCTCCTGCTGATGTTAGCCCTGCTTGCATTTAACATGGAGACCAAGCAGGGATTCTGGTACCATCACTCACACATACCTTAAAGACCACGTTATCCTCTCCACTCCTCAGGTTCCACTTGCTCCAGCCAAAGGCAAAAGAAGTTGCAACAAGAGACATTTGCTGGTAAACCATGATTTCTGCCAGCAGGCTCTGTAAAAAGCAGATGAAAACATCCAAGGTCAATTGTGAATGAACCTTGGCACCGACCCTTGGATCTGATGCCTGAGATGGGCCAATGTGGTCCTATACATGATGATCAGAAGAGAGTCCCGCCGGATTCGATAGGGCTTGCTCCCTAGTGTATACATGCATGAGAAATGAACTGGCAGGGAAGGCTCATGACATGCCTTGAGCATCGCAGCCCAAGGTCATAAAAAGCAGACACTTCAAGACAACTCAGATGGCTGAGCCGCTGTATCTCAGGCAGGCAGGAGAAACTAAAGGCAAGCACTCAGCTAGCGTTCTGTTTCCAACAGTAGCCAAAATGCAGGAAGCTTCAACTATGGGAGAGAAGGAACATGTCTGCACAACATCCTAAACCACGGCAGACAACCCCAAAGGGCTGCATTCACACCGCCGTTTTAGCCAAACAGAGCAGGTGAAGTCAGGAATTGACAGAAAATGATTTCCCTACTGCTTACTTTTTTGTTCACGCTGACATACTTTGTGGAGTATTCAGCGGGGAAGATGTTCATGCCAGCTCGCTTCAGTGTCACCATGAGGGCCATGGGAGTCATCCATTTTTCTCTCAGCCCCAAAAGCAGATCAGAATCTTCTACTGTAGCGACTGAATAGAGCATACATTGATTGTCCTGCCTCAGAAAGACAGAAGAGCCATTAAACGGTCACTTCATTCTTTCCTAAACACTGAGCAATTGATGTATTGTACGTCCTTCTCAATAAAAACTAACACTGACTGGCATTTTGGCTATACAGGTAGTCCTCACTTAACTACCACAATCGAGACTGGAAAATTAGTCATTAAGGGGGCCATCGTAAGTGCGAGCTGGTTGCCAAGCACCAAGATTGTTATCACGTGACCACAGGAGCGCTGCAATGGTCATAAGCGCGAGGATCGGTCAGTAGCTTTTTTCAGCACCATCCTAACTTTGAACAGTCACTAAATGAATGGCCGTTAAGCGAGGACTACCTGTATAGCTAAGAGGACTCCACCCCAAAGTCATTTTGCAGGGCTTGTCCAGATCAGTAACTTACCCAGGCACCTGAGAGTAGGTCTGCGGGACTGCATCACCAAATAATCAAATTATGCACCACAGTTTCTAAGAGTCCGTGGTGAGAAAAATGTTCACCTTAAATAAGAAACCAAATCCTTTGGAGATGGATGCAACAAAGCATACTTTTATTGGCCTGCACCAACTACAGGGCTCACCAGGCTTCTCGCTAAAGAACTGTGGAGCAGCCCTGAGCAAAGTAAGGCTACAGATTATATACATTTGGTTGGTTACACAACAGACAGGTAAAAGGAATATTGCAAATATTACACCCTTACACTGGAATGCTTTTGATAAACGATTAGAATGACCTCTCTGTTACTTTTCACACTAATAGGATTGTATTCTTTTAAATAATATCAGCATGTACAATCAACAACATGGTTGGTCCTTTCACACCATTCCATTCACACTCTGCAGGAAGGACATCTGTCTGGTTTGTGTTATCCGTCTCCATTCCAGGATCACAATATTGAACTCTGAGCTTCATACATCTTAATATTTAACAGAATATAGGCACTATTTCTAAGGCATAAAATTGAACATAGGAATTAGATCTCCACAAGCCTCCTCCTGTGAGATAAGGAGCCCCAGAGGCCAGAGTGAGGAATGGGGAAGAAATTTGTTTCATTCTTGTCCAAATGCAAACTTCCTGATTTTGCCTTTTTCTTTAACCAACAGCAAAATTAGTACTTATGGTTCAAAATGTGCAGGTCTCCAAATTTTGCAGTGAACTCTCCTAAATTTCTAAAAGCTGCTAAGGGAAAAGGCCATAGACTATATTCTGAGTGTTAAAAGAAGATTGTTTGCAAAGCTATACATGGTAGGTAGTCCTCGCTTATCAACCACAATAGGGACCAGAAAATTTGTTAAGCGGGGTGGTTGTTAAGTGAGGCATCACATTGCTGCACCCAATTTTACGACATTTTTTGTGGCGGTTGCTAAGCAAATAACTGGTCAAGCAAATCATGTGGTTGTTAAGTGAATTACACAGTTCCCCATTGATAATGCTTGCCAGAAGCTAGCTGGGAAGGTTACAAACAGCGATCACATGACCCCAGCATGCTGCAACTGTCGTAAGAGCAAGGATCAGTCGTAAGTTACTTTTTTTAGTGCTTTCATAACTTTGAATGGTCACTAAATGAACGGTTGTTAAACAAAGACTACCTGTAGGCATAAATTGCAAACAGAAATACTTAGGTTCAGAAAATGCATGCCAAACAACATACACATTTTAGTGCAAACTTAAAAAAAAAAAAAAATTGAACATGAACATGAACTGACAGATTCTCCAACCCCAGTTTGATCAGTCTGCCGTCTCCTACCAGATATTTCCCCACCGTGGTACTTTAAAACGGCAAAACCCAGAATTTTCAACCAGCGTTGTGGGAATTACAATCCACTTCTGCATGTTAAGGGGCACCACGTTGGGAACGGTGGGGACAGTGGTCAAGTGCAAGGAAGACCGTCTGCATTTGCCATCAGAACTGCAGAATCAGTTACTTCGGAATAGCATTTTATGGTACTTGAATGAACATTTATTTAATTGATTGTTAATTAGGTCCTGACTGCACCTTTCCCCCAGGATCTCAAGGTGGTTCACGTGAGTTTAAGTTTTATTTTATACGGGGAGAAGCAGTTAAGTACAATAAATAGCTAGAGCATTTGCCTTTGCCAAAACGATATAAAATGAGGCTGAGCATGTAAAATTTGTTGTATAAACCATAGAGAAATATCTAGGAGGGAATCATATCAGAGCTTTTTCAGCTCAACTTTAATTCTTAATTTGGGGCAAAACATTCTCTTCTCTATTTAAAAAATGTTACTACCGTAATCGTTGCAATTTGTTTTATTGTTCCGAAACCATTTAAACCCCACTTTTTTCCCCCTCAAACCTGGTTCAGGTTCATGCACAGGTACTCCTGTATTAATACGGGATGGGTCATTTGAGTTTCTCAGGTCGCGCTGATGTCCTCGCACAACATAGTGTGGGCACGCAACTGTCCACCCCGCGGATTTGCCGGTTGTCTCCCACGTACCTTGATGTGGATCTGCACCTCAGCGAAGGTGGTGAGGATGGTAAGGACAGCTTTATCGGGCCCAATGGGCAGGAGCTCCCAGCACTGGTAGGGCATATTGAGGTGAGCATCCTGCAGCAGCGTAACGGTGAAGAAGCCGTTCATTTTAAAGGAGATCTCTTTCTCTTTCATTTTGTATACGACCTCCCCAATGTCATCTGTTCTCCAATATTTATCTTGGAAGAAAAAAGAAGAAAGACAAACAAGAAGACATTTAGTCCACGAAGCTCTGCATTTTCACTTTACTGGAAGGAAAACATCTGGGTTTCACCTGGAAGATGAACCAAGGTCTCCTGTATGAGGTCCACCATGACAGAGACAGGTTGCGGGTTACAGTTCCAACCTGTTTCCTGCCCCTCGCCCTCTGCTCTTGACCAGCCTTCATTATACCCCAGTTGAGAATTACTGGAGTTGTAGTCCAACCCCATCTGCAGGGTGCCAGACTGAAGATGGTTCTGGATGACTATCTGGTTTCACCTCCCCAATCCCCGGAGTTTATTGTATCAACAAAAGTGAGGTGGCTTAGCTTGGTTTTTGCTACGTGGTTGCTGGTTTTCTTGTTTTTACGATGTTTGGAGCCTGTGGCAAATTTGCAAAAAGGCAGCGGGTCAGTTTGTAAAACCAACTTTTACAGAATGGAAATACTGTATGTTGCTGTCCCTCATGGGGCTGGACAATGGTCCAAAATAGAGCTATGTAAATAATGTAAATAAAAAAGGGTGCTTAAAAAAGAACAGAAAAGGAGGGGGGTGGGGGTTAGGTGGAAACTAATTTTCTGGGGCTGATGGAGGAAGTTTTGCATCTCTCAGGAAGAAATGAACTCATCTCTCAGGATGGAACGTTACAAAGCACAACACTGAACTGACGCAAAGTGAGAACAGTAAAGTTTGGGTTACTCAGAACTCGTTTTTTGTGGTTTTTCAAATCCAGTTTGAACGCCGGGTTCCTTGGCCAAGCACACCTGTTGCTCCAAGGAATTCTGTAACAGGAATGAATTATTTTATTCTGCCGCCTCCTGATAGTTTCACCTCCAAGAACAGTGTTTCTCAACCTTAACAACTGTAAGATGTCTGGACTTCAACTCCCAGAATTCCCCCGCCCCCCCGGGTGTGTTGGGGGATTTTGGGGGGGGTGGTCCCAAATATCAATGTTTTGAAAGGGGTGGGAAAAAACACTACATATTTCTTTTTTTCC